TTCTGCCAATTAGCGTTACTTCTACTTAGTAATCCAAATTCAGAAAAATTAGAATTCCTACTTTTTGGTAGGTATCATAGTGGTTATGAACATGGATTTGAGTTTAATCCTATTTCTCTATTAATTTGTGTGTTGGGATGCACATTACTTCTTTGAGACTCAGTTTCCTACTTTAAAAGTAGTGAGAATATCAGTTTCCTTACAGGATGTATTAAATTTATTAGCACAGTGTCCAGCTACATGTTAAAGTTACATTATTATACCATTATGTATTTTAAACAACTTTATAACTTTTGTGAATTAATAGAATGTTTTATTAATAATTTATTTCTTCTGGGACGCCTGGCTGGCCCAGTTGGAGCATGCAACTCTTGATCTAGCAGTTGTGAGTTCAAGTTCCACGTTGAATATAGAGATTAAAGTATAAATATCATAATAATAATTTATTTCCGCTTCTATCTGGATTGCTTGGCTTTAATTGTATATTAGTATATATTTTCAGTATATATATTGCTTTCACTTCTCCTGAGCCTTTTCGATTATGGCGTTTTGTCTAATTTCTATAACAGCTAAGAAACATTATTGGTGCTGTCCATCTCATTCTTGTTTTGGGCCATGCAGACACAGCTTCTAGGTCAAAACTCAGAAAGGAAAAAGCCATGATCAAAAGGCTCAAATAGGCCTTGTTGTTTTTTTTTTTTTTTCCAAATAGGCCTTGTTTTATAAAAATATGACTTAAATGCTTATTTTTCTTTTTTTTTTAATTTTTATTTATTTATGTATGATAGACACAGAGAGAAAGAGGCAGAGACACAGGCAGAGGGAGAAGCAGGCTCCATGTACCGGGAGCCCGATGTGGGACTCGATCCCGGGTCTCCAGGATCGCGCCCTGGGCCAAAGGCAGGCGCCAAACCGCTGCGCCACCCAGGGATCCCAAATGCTTATTTTTCTTATTTTTTTTAAAGATTTTATTTATTTATTTATTTATTTATTTATTTATTTATTTATTTATTTATTTATTTATGAATGATAGAGGCAGAGGGAGAGGTAGGGTCCCTTTGGGGAGCCCGATGCAGGACTCAATTCTGGTACACCAGCATCACTCCCTGAGCCACCCAGGTGCCCCTTATTATTTATTTATTTGTTTGTTTGTTTATTTATTTATTTATTTATGATAGTCACACAGGGGGGTGGGGCAGAGACATAGGCAGAGGGAGAAACAGGCTCCATGCACCGGGAGCCTGACATGGGATTCGATCCCGGGTCTCCAGGATCGCGCCCTGGGCCAAAGGCAGGCGCTAAACCGCTGCGCCACCCAGGGATCCCTTTTTCTTATATTTAAATGCTATGCTTGACCACTTGTCCTCAGTTTAAAGGAATTCTATAGCGGATAATAAAATTTTATGTAACAGTGTTTCTATTCCTCTTGGAATAGAAGTAAATTCAATTAGCAATACATGAATACTCTATCTTAAAATAAGTCTATTCTTACCAATCAGAATCTTTGCAATAAGAATGATAGTCCCTTAAGCTACCCTTTCTGTCCAGTCGTGATCATCAGGCAACAATTTTGAGCTCTTTTAGTGTTTCTTCTGGTATCTATTTCCAAATAATATACTTCTATTGCTCTTTCTCAACTTTCAGATGTCACTGAATCATTTCTTGTCCTGGTGAGTGAGGATATAATCCATTTAAATCTTCTTCCCATGCCTTCTCCCCTATTTCTAAGATTAAATTGTAAATTTTAACAGAGAAGATTAGGTGTATATATAGTTAGGTAACTATTATTTATTCCTGACTCAAGTAATGAATTACTTTTTTATTTTTTAAAGATTTTATATATTCATGAGAGACAGAGAGAGAGAGGGAGAGAAAGAGAGAGACATAGGCAGATGGAGAAGCAAGCTCCCTGTGGGGAGCCTGATGCGGGACTCGATCCCAGGATCCCAGGATCATGACCTGAGCTGAAGACAGATGGTAAACCACTGAGTCACCCAGGTGCCTCAAGTAATGAATTATGACAACATTTTCTATCTAGGATGACTATTTTTCTTAAAGTCAATAATTGGCTTTGTTCAATTTATTTTTTATGAATCAGTAATTCTTCCTATATGCGCCAACAAAATATCTCAGTTCTATTTTCTACAAAGACAAATTCATTAGATAATATTATTTCCATTTTTTAAACTTAGAAATTTCTTAGTTTCTCCTATGTTCAATCCCTAATAATCTAGTTTGCATATTTTGATATATTCCTTTACTTAGTAGCTTCTTGAGAAAAGGTGCATTGGATGTACTTTTTTTTCAACATCTTATGTAGTTAAGCGTTTTATTTAAAACCATATATTCTAATGATAGTGTGGTTGGCTTTAGAATTCTGCATTGGAAGTCATTTACCTTATTTTAAAGGCAGTTAGTGTTTTAAATTTCAGTGTTGCTGTTGAGAAGTTTAGTGCTAATCTGATTTCTGTTTATTTCTGTAATCTTATATGAAATTATGAAATAATTATGAAATTTCACTTTGATGTGCTTTGTGGGCCTTTAATTTATTACACCAGACAGTTGGTGAATCTTTTCAGTTTGGCACTGCATGTCTTTCAGTTGTGGAAATTTTTGGACATTATTTCTTGATTACTTCCCTTTGGTCTCCCATCTCCTTCATTCTCTTTATTCCTGATTTCTGCAGTGTCTCCCTGAATTGATCTACTAATTTCCCATTCTTCCTGTTTTGTCTTTTTGTTTTACTTTATTTCTTGTGGAGTTTTTCCAATATTGTCTTTCTAAACTATTGAATTTGCAGAGTTCCTGGGTGGCTCAGAGAGGGGTATGCTATTTTTGGCCTCGGGGTTGTGAGTTTGAGCCCCATGTTGGGCGTGGAGAATACTTAAGCAAATAAATCAAAATAAACTTTAAAAAATGTTTAAGTTCCTATTGAATTTTTACTTATATTTTTAATTTCTTATTCTCTGAATATTTTTCTCCCAGCATCTTGTTCTTGTCCTATGGATATAATATCTTTTCTGTTTGAGGTAATATCTTTTCTAAATTTTGTGGCTTTTTCTTTGGTTTCTTTATTATCTTTATCTTCCTGACTTCCTTTTTCTTTTGTTTTGATTTTTGTTTTTCAGGATAGAGACCTGCTTTTAGTTAATCAAGTTAGTTGTCTCTTAAATGTTGTCTGCCCATTTGTGTAGAGTGGTGAGGCACTAAAATATTGGCAGGAAGCATTGTGTACATGGGTTGGGTTTATTGGCTGGCCCCACAGTGTGCTATGGTTTCTCAATCTTGCCTGAGATATTTTGGGCCTGAAAATTCTTTGTTATGGGGGCCGTCTGTAGAATGTAGGATGTTTAGACCTATCCCTGACCTCTCCCCACTAGCTGCCAATTGTACTCTCCCTTCCCCAGTCATGAAAAAATAATCTCCCAGCATTGTCAAATGTCCCCTTGGAGACGATTGGGCTATTTCATGGCCACTCTGTAATGCTAGTATTTGTAGGGCTCTATTCTCTTGCCAGTCTCCAGAGAGGAAACTTGGAATCTCCATCTTTTGAGGTTTTAAGCCTGGCTACTGGATTTCTGGGAGTCTAGTGGAATGTAGGGGCTAAAGATTTTCACTTAACTTTGTTCATCATGGCTCCTTATCTCTGCTTTACTTCTGTATCTTGTCTGCCAGTCTAGAGCCTCCCTATTCAGTTTGTCCAGAGAATAAACCTTACTATTTTGAGACAGTGTAGGGAGAGATAGTGGCTAACTCTCTGCCATGGGGAAGAAGGGCTCTAGGGTAAGGTCCAACTCTTTCTTTTACAGGCTTTCAACTACTATTTCTGTTTAGAGCTCTTTGTAACTATCTTTGTCTTCTAAGTTACCTGGTACTTCCAATTCCTGTATTTTGTATGTATGTTCTAAGGGGAGAATTTGATGGTTTGTTGGAATCCACGTTTGCAGGCATGTAGACTTCAGCTGCCTTTGATCTGCTAAGTCGGCTTCTATCCCTCCACTTGTTTGCCACTTTCCCAAAACTGATCAATTTGTCCAGTATACTGTTCTGTTCTTTCCTCTTCTTCCTTGTGAGTTTATAGTCTTATTATTTTACTGACCTTGTACTAGGTATTACAGCAGCAATAATGAACATGTGTTCAGTCCAGAAGTAATATTAAATGGTGTAATTCTAAAAACTTAGGTTTTTACATGTTTTCTTCCTTTTTTGTAGGAGAAATTCAAATGAAGACTAAAGGAATAAAGCCAGGAGAGATGCTTTTTTTTTTTTTTTTTTTTTTGAGGTTTTAGGCAAGCCTCATTCTATCTCTAATTATGGGATATATGTTTTTAAGGTTTTATAATAACTTGCTTTTCCTTAGTATATGACTCGAATGATTACAGAAGTAGAGCTTAGGAGACAGAGTATGTATGAATGAGACTATCAGAGAAACTGAAATCAGTATTGATTGCTGTTAGTAGTAAGAGGACTTTATAGCTTTTTTAACATTTTGAACTTTAATAATTATGTTTGAGTTTAGAAAATGATAGTTTTCTTAACTATCTGTTAAGAATACCTGTTTTTTATTTTTAGAGGCAAAAGAATTCTGGTTTTTAAATCCAAATATTTAGAATAGTTCTGTCAACTTTACTAGCCATTTGTGGCTATTTAAACTTAATTATTATAAAATATATTAAAAATTCAGTTCCTCAGTTGTTCAAGCCTGTTTTCAAGTCCTTGGTAGCTACATGTGTCAGTGATTTTTTTTAGAACCTTCCCAGATTCTAACAGGTTATATTTCATTGATAATTACACATGTATTATTTAGTACCTGAGAGTCTCAAGAGAGCTAACCAAAAAGTTGAAGTAGTTCAGCTATCATAATTGTCATGTTCCTACTTGTTCTACTTTAAAATTTCAAGCTGTGGTAAGATCATTCCTTCTATCTATTTAAATCGTGATAATTGTGTCTTTGTTTTACTTCTCTGGCTTTATTTTTTAATTATTTCTTTTCCCTCCAGACAGTGCAGTGCTTGCTAGACAGTGGTGCTGATATTAACAGGCCAAATGTATCTGGAGCCACTCCATTGTACTTTGCTTGCAGGTATGATATTTTCTATTTTCAGATGCTCTCATTAAAGAATGTGTGTATTTATTACATTTCCAAACACAAACATTTCTGTATATTTTCTAAAGTTCTCTTGTTTTCCCACAAATACTGTACTCACTTAACTGCACAAGGAAAAATATTTTCTATTATATTGCCAGTGTTTTTATATGTTAATAGGTGGGAGCTTTTGATTTACTTGATTATTTAAATTTTAGACTAATTACTTAATAATGAAAAAAGGTGTCTGTATAATCCTTTAATTTCATAGTTTTCTTTGTTAAGTACTATGTCAGTTTCAGAGGGATTAAATATTAATATTTAATATTAAAATATGTCTTAGACCAGAGCCGTGTCTTTGCTTTCTTTGGATTTGTAACTTAAAAAAAAAAAAAATCTTTGCATTTGTCTGGTTAGATATTAACTTATAGATTAAGTTATTTTTGTAGTTCTGTCTTGGTTCATTTTCTTGAAGCATACATTTTGTTCATTGGTTCATTTGTGTAATAAGCAAACATTTAGTTAGCTACTCAGTGTGTGCCATATATTATGGCATTAGTGATACAGTAATAAATAAAACCTGAGTCCATATGGAGCTAACAACATAATAATTATACATGTACTCCTCCCCGTACATACCCATACATATGTGTGTGTGTGTGTGTGTGTGTGTGTATGTGTGTGTTCTATAAATGTAGTTTGCAATTAGAAGCAATTTACAATATACCAGTGTTTCTTGTCTTTGGTTTAGATGATATGAATTGCAGTATTTATTTAGTCTCTTAAATGCAGATATAAAGTTCTCCAGAAAGCTCCTCTTTTTTTTTTAATCCCTTTTTCTGTTATATGTCATTTTCCTGGAGGTTTGTTTTAGACTAAAAGATCTGCTTTTGTTCTTGTTTAGCTTCTCTCTAGGGTCTCTGATGTTACTTTGATTACACTGCTTCAAATCATCATTGAACAAATTGAATTAGCATACAAGGACTTTTGGATCTCTAGACTTCTATCTGAATCCAGCCATTTTCTTACATTATATTTATGTTTTGGTTGCTTGGTTAGAAAACCCATTCTTTCCATAGTATCCTGAATATATGAATAATGTCATTGTTTGATTCCCTGAAATCATATCCTATCTTGAGGGATTATCTCTAGATCAGTCCTTTCTTTGAAGCTTCAGATTTGAATGGCTACCTTCCTGATTTACATCATCACTCCCAAGTTGTATAGAATCTCAGATGTCAACACGTCCAAAACAGAGTTTCTGATTTCCCTTTTCAAACCTTTTGTCTACCTTTTCTCATCTCAGTCATTGGAACCTTTATCTTTTCAGTTGTTTAAATAGAAACTAGATCATTATTTTTTTTTTCTTTTTCTCTGTCTCTCTCTGACCCTGAACTTGGAATTTAGTAAATTCTGCCTCCAGAATATATTCTGAAACTCATCTCTCCAACTCACTGAAATGATCATAGTTAACGTTGATACCTCTCGTCTAGAATACTGCTTCATCTCTTAACTGGTCTTCTTGGTTTCTCTCGTTTCCCTTCCATCTGTCCCTTCTTTAGCAGCCAAAGCAATCTTTTAAAGAAATGAATCTATTTTGGGCACTTGGGTAGCTCAGTTGGTCAAGTGTCCGGCTCTTGATTTCAGCTCAGGTCATGGTCTCATGATTGTGGGATTTAGCCCCAAGTTGGGCTCTGGGCTTTGCACATGGCTTGGAGTCTGCACGGGATTCTTTCTCTCTCTCTTTGCTCTCTCTCTTTCAAAATAAATAAAATCTTGAAAAAACACAGCTTTTGTCATTTTGTGTTTAAACTCTTTATTAAAAAAAAAAAACAACTCTTTATTTAAAAATTCTGGTGCCTCTGTTGCATTACAGATAAAATACACATTCTGATTTTGCCTGTGAGACCTTTGTGGTCTGACCCTGTCTTAGCTAACTGTGCTTCTGTCACAATGGTTCTCTCGGGGTTCACAAATGCAAGGTACTCTTTCCAGTAGGCTTTTCTGCATATTGTTTGTTTTCCCCAAAATGATATTACTTTGGCTTTTTTATGTGGCTGACTCTTTCTTTATATCAATGCTTAATTGTTACTTTTTCAGAAGGCAGTTCCTGGCCAGTGTGAGTATGGCCTCTCCCCAAATTTTATTTCACAGCATCACAGTTATTTCTTTTTCCCTTTCTTTTTTTTTTTTTTTTTTTTAAGTAGGCTACACACCCAACTTGGGGCCCAGCAGAGGGCTTGAACTCATGACCCTGAAATCAACACCTCAGCTTATTAAGATCAAGAGTCAGACGTTTAACTGACTGAGACACCGAGGCGTCCCACAGTCATTTCTTTTATAGCACTTTGTATTTTGTAATGGTTTATTTATTCCTTTATCGTATGTCTCTCTTACTAGACTGAAAGTTCAAAAAAGGGAAGAATCTTACCACTTTATATTCAATGTGTAGTACAGTGCTTTGCATTTAGATGCTTAGTAAATGTTTTTGAATGAATGAATTGCTATAGTTACATGTTTGAAAAATATCTTCTATAAAATGATAGCATGTGTAATAGTTAAATATTGGTATATTAGTGTTCAGAATGCAGCTATTCTAGTTTGAGCATAGAGGTATGGCAAAAAAAGGTTTTTAGAAGTACTTTCTGTTAGTATTATATTGCCATCATTAACCTTTATTTAAAAAAAATTTTTAAGATTTTATCTTTAAACTCTACACCCAACGTGCAGCTCGAATTCACAACCTCAGTATCAGGAATCGCATACCCCACTGACTTAGCCAGCCAGGCACCCCTCCCATTATTAACTTATTCTAGCAAATATTAGGCTTCTTTGAACAGAGATAGTTAAGCTTTAACTTAAAATTGAAATAAGAAATGAATCATTATAGCAGGATGATAGATATGGAACATGGTTCGCTTGTATGTAGACTTTTTTTTCTTAAAATTTTATTTCAATTCTGTTTAGGTAACATATAGTGCAATATTGATTTCAGGAGTAGAATTCAGTGATCCATCACAACAGCTAGTATTCATCACAAGTGCTCTGAATGCCCATCACATATTTACCCCATTCTCCACTCACCTCCCCCCATCAACCCTCAGTGTGTTCTTTATTTTTAAGTCTCTTAACATTTGGTTTCCTCTCTCTCTTTCCCCTTTCAGCATATGTTCATCTGTATTCTTAAATTCCACATGAGTGAAATCATATGGTATTGGTTGTAGGCAGACCTTTAATTGTATTTGCGATACCTAGATATAGATATACATTAAATGTATAAATTATTCCCATTGTATCATCTATGATAAATGAAAAGGGGAAAGGAATGTGGGAAACAGAACAAGTTGACCCTATAGACAAAGTATAGAAGTCTAAAAGGCTGGGGTATTTGGGTGGCTCAGTGGTTGAGCGTCTGTGTTCAGCTCAGTGCATGATCCCGGGGTCTTGGGATCGAGTTCCACATTGGACTCCCTGCATGGAGCCTGCTTCCCCCTCTGCCTGTGTCTCTGCCTCTCTCTCTCTCTGCCTCTCATGAATAAATAAATAAATAATTTTTAAAAAAGATCTAGGGGATCCCTGGGTGGCGCAGCGGTTTAGTGCCTGCCTTTGGCCCAGGGCGCGATCCTGGAGACCTGGGATCGAGTCCCACGTCGGGCTCCCGGTGCATGGAGCCTGCTTCTCCCTCTGCCTGTGTCTCTGCCTCTCTCTCTCTCTCACTGTGTGCCTACCATAAATAAAGTAAAATAAAAAAAAATAAAAAAAGATCTAAAAAGCTAAACATAATGTAAGTTTTTATTGGTTGAGAGGTATTATTAGATATACTATCATATGCTTTTTTAAAATTTTGAATTACATTCAAAAGGTATTGAGCTATATAGGAGAAAGAGCCTTGGAAGCAGGGTTCAAATCTTAGCCCCAAAGCTGTGCAACTTTAGTCAAATTCCTAGACCTCTGAAGCCTTTGTTTCTGAAATGGAAATGCTGCTATCTGGCTTGTGAGACTATAGTAAGGATCAAAGGAGATGGCTTATAGAAAGCATCTGGCAGAGTATTTTGCACTTAATAAGTGCTCGCTAACCTGCGGTATACGTCTCCACTCCTCAGTATGCACAAAGTACGGTTGTCCTCATTTAGGTTTATTGCTATACAAGATTTTCATACTGAGAAATAGGATTCTTCTCCTACCATACAGACTTTTTTACTTTGTGTTGCCATATTTAATTATGTAGTGCTTCTGTGAGTGAGTCATTTTCAAACTGATTTTGACCTAAAATTATGACAGGAACTATTTTCCAGCCACTTGTTTCCTCTAAGTATTTTGCACAAGACATAATTCATTAGCTTTCTTTTCATGCACACAATTATTTCCCCATCACCTTCCCATCTTTAGGCACCTTTGTTTATAGGGCTTTTTTGGAAGAGGGTCATAGGGAGAGGGAGAGAGAGAATCTTAAGCAGGCTCCAAGCCCAGCGTGGAGCCTGGTATGGGGCTTGATTTCACGACCCTGAGGTCATGATCTGAACCAATATCAAGAATCAGATACTTAACCAACTGAGCCACCCAGGTGCCCCTGTTTTTAGGGCCATTTATTTATTTATTTATTTATTTAGGGCCTTTTTTTAAAAAAAAGGATTAATTTAATTTTTTAAAGATTTTATTTATTTATTCATGAGAGACACACAGAGAGAGAGAGAGAGGCAGAGACACAGGCAGAGGGAGAAGCAGGCTCCATGCAGGAAACCCGACATGGGACTCAGTCCCAGGTCTCCAGGATCACACCCTGGGCTGAAGGCAGACACTCAACCGCTGAGCTAAAGGCAGATGGTCAACCACTGAGCCACCCAGGTGCCCCTTATTTTATTATTTTTTAAGGTTTAATTTATTTATTTGACAGCATAAGTAGGGGGATCAGCAGGCAGACAGAGAGGGAGAAGCAGGCTCCTCACTGAGCAAGGAGCCCAACAATGTGGAGCCAGATCCCAGGACCATGACCTTAGCTGAAGGCAGATGCTTAACAAATTGAGCCACTCAGGCACCCCTATTTATTTATTTATTTGAGAGAGAGAGAGAGAGAGAGAGAGTGCGCGTGCAAGAGAGAGTGCAAGAGAGTGTGAGGGGAGGGGCAGAGGGGGAGAGAGGGAAAGTCTTAAGCAGACTCTTCACTCAGTGCTGAGCCCAATGCAGGGCTTAATCTCATGACACTGAAATCATGACCTAAGCCAAACCAAGAGTTGGTTGCCTTAACTGTGCCATCCAGGTTTCCCTAGGACTTTTATATAGTATTTACAAATGCCTCAAGTCCTTAAATTGCTAGATTGGTTTTATTTTCAGTTTTATGCTTCTCATTCCCTTAAGTGAGTTCTTTAAATAAAGGTTTGGGTGTATAATGATTTTTAAGTGTTTTCTATATCTGGGATACCTTTTTTCCTATTAGGAAAAGCAAGGTTTAGCTGGGGTTATATAGATACAGTAAATTAGTGAGATGTTTATGTAATTATGGATGTCTGCAATAGAGAGAAAAAGGTGTGATTCTGAACATGGATTCGTAGCTACTGCCAAGTACCTCCTTTCAATTAGTGGAATTCACAAGCAAAGTGTTGTGCCCAAGATTGCGAATCCGAGAAACCACCAAGGAGCCGACACCGATGCAAACACACGAGGGTTGATTTACAAGCTCGAGCTTGGGTCCAAGTGTACCTGACACAGCAGAGCAGGGACTTGGACCCCGAGACTAAGAGGCTTAGCAGCTTTATAGGGGCCAGTGGCCCATGGGATACACAAAGTTGCACAGTCCTGTGGGTCCATACTCCATACGCAGGTGGCTGATTGAATTACATCTTACCCTATAGTATCCATTTGAGCTGGCCTATTACTTTGGTCAGATTGGCGTGCAGTTTTGGTGGGCACAAAGCAGGGTTACATTGTTATGAGCCGATTTCCGATTAGGGTGTGCCCAGCCGCTTGACTAGGGTGGGGCCCCGCCTTAAACAATAAGCAGGTTATGTGGGGGTCATACAGGAGGTGGCAGGTGTAGCACAAAATGGAATCAGTCCTGCTCTGCTTGTCCAGGGGTAGGGGATTTTTGTTAAATTTCCTGGGTCCCACACAAAGCCCAAAGACTCAAAGTTGTAAACTTCAGAATAGGAAAAAGATCATTAGAAAATACGATCTCTTTATGAGTTGTTCTAAAAAATCCTGCAATATTTGTACCATATGCACTTTAGCCAAGTTTTCAGATCATATTGCTTGAAAGAGCCTAAAATTAGGAGTCTGAAAGTGCTTGAAAATCACTTCTAAGTATGTTAGAAGTACTACAACTTTCTTATTAAATCTTTGCCAACTTCCTAGTTTCCAGAAAATGCACTGGCATTTCCTTGAAGGGACTATAATCTCAATCAATATAAAAAAAAAGAAAGAATTTAATCTTTTAATATAATTCCTTCATTCCTCTCCCTACATATTCCATTGTCATATCAATGAGACTTCTGATAACATGTATATCTACTTCTTGAAAAAAAACCAAATATATAAAAAAAATAGTTAATGGGACGCCTGGATGGCTCAGCGGTTGAGCGCCTGCCTTTGACCCAGGGCGTGATCCTGGAGTCTCAGGATCGAGTCCCACATCAGGCTCCTTGCTGGGAGCCTGCTCTCCCTCTGCCTGTATCTCTGCCTCTCTCTCTGTCTCTCATGAATAAATAAATAAAATCTTTAAAAAAAGATAGTTAAACTGTAAAGAATATTTGTTCTCTCAGCAAATTTTTACAGTTATTTGAACTGAAAAATCTTTTTTATGCAATATTCTTGAGAAGTTTGTTACAGATTACTCTTAATGTCGTGCAATATTGTAAGTGGAGCACTTGAGGCCTAAGTCGGTTTGTGCAGATTTTATATATTATTTAGTGCCTGTTTCTTGATTTTAATTTATTTTTGAAATGAAATGTTACTTGCTCATAGATGACATTTTAATGTAGTTTTAGAGATTACTCGATCATAGATGACATTTTAATGTAGTTTTAGAGATTACTCCAGTTTTCTAAAAATGTCAAAATGGAATTCTTTTTCCTTCATGCTAATTATCCTTTTGGCTATATTTGATAAATAAAATTATTTGGAGACATTTTAAAAACCACATATATTCAACAGTGTCCCATTTGTACATCGTGATCTTGTCTGTCCATTGTGTGTGATCCCCATTGTATTTTTCTCGGAGCATATATCCCCTTGCAACTTACACCATACTTTCTTGAGTACTAAATACTAAATTGTTTATGCTTTGAGAGCAAACTCTATGTTTATTCATCTTTTGGAATGATATGATACAGATGAAAATTTTGGATCAGATCGACTTAGATTCAAATTCTACTCTGTCATGTAACTGTTGATCTTGAGTAACTCCGTGGTTTTCTCAAAGTCATAGTTTTTGCTACTGAAAATGAAATGAATACTTATTATTACATTTTTTAAAATTTTTATTTTTTCATGAGAGACAGAGAGTCAGGGACATAGAGGGAGAAGCAGGCTCCCTGCAGGGAGCCTGATGTGGGACTCGATTCTGGGACTCCAGGATCATGACCTGAGCTGAAAGCAGATGCTCAACCACTGAGCCACCCAGGCGCCCATGAATACTTATTTTATAAGAGGGGCAGAGTTAAATCAGACTTTGTACAAGGAACTGAGCATTATGCTTGTCATTTAGTAGATCCTAAATAAATTATGAATCAGGTCTTTTTTTTGTTGCTTTCTGTGTATGTTACTTTATTTAATACTTATTTGTCAAATGAATGGTACCTGAAGTTAAAAACTATAATATAATTCAACAAATGTATTGAATACATGTTATAAGCCAACTACTGTGCTTAGTGCTATGGAATAAATACATGGTGAAGAAGTTTACAGTTTAATTGGAATGATTAGACACATGGATGTTAAATAATTATAGAAGAAATGTCATGAAAGTTGAACATAGTCACTTTGCAAATTTTTTCCAGAACCAAGGGTAGTAGCACAGTTATCACTGTCTCTAAATAAATTAAGGTTAAGTTAGTTTCTTTTCACTTAGCTTTCATTTCTAGGTATTACAAAGAAAAGAACAGTTTCAATTGTAAGCTATTTGCTATTAGCTGTGATATGTAATGTGTTGACCAGCACTCCTAGCTTAATGACAAATGACATCTAATGAAGACTTTTCTTGATGTATAATAGTGAAACTAGCTACTGTTGCTTTTGGAGAGATTGCTGATTTCCTTGGTTTCTTGGTTTTCTCTAATAAATTAGATTTTGTTCTTGACTCAGTTTTGACCTCTTGATACTTGTATTAAGCTAAATAATCAGCATGACAATAGAGTATTGTGAGAGTGATACAGCTATAATATCTGCCATCAGATTCATGGTAGGATTTTATTAAATTAAAAAAATTTTAAATTAAAATTGTTTAATGCTATTTGGTTATAAATTATACTTTATGCAGTGTCATTTTGTGGAAAAGAATGAGTAGGCTTTTTTTTTTTTTTAACTTTCTGAGAAATCTTTCTTTTTGGGAAATGACGTACCTTTTTAGGTGTAATGGTATTGTAGGAAGAGTATTGGTATGGAAGAGCAGAGATTTGAATTCTAGTTTCACCTGTGCTTAAGTGAGTAGCTTTTATCAACTACAAAATAAAAAATTTTGATCACATACTCTTCCAAACCATATGACTTCCTTGGGCATTTGGTAAAATTAGCTTTAAACTATAGTATCTTTGGATTGCAATTTTTTTTTTAATTGCCTAGACTATCTTGGATCAGATTAGCTCACTGAGTAATAAGACCCTAGAGTCTAGTGGTTACTGTCCTCCAAATTAGATTCCTCCTAGCTGAAAGAGTGATGGTTACTAATTTTACTACTTAAAAGAAAATGGGCATTTGGATAGGAGCATTGTTCATTCTACCTCAGATTAAATAACTGTCAACAGAAGCCAAACTGTGTGGGTTGATAAAATGAAAGTGGAAAGCTGGATAGTATTTTTGGGTATTAATCCTTACCCTACCCTCATTCTCTTATTTTGATATTTGTCTTCCTTCCTTCCTTTCTTCCTTCCTTCCTTCCTTCCTTCCTTCCTTCCTTCCTTCCTTCCTTCCTTCCTTCCTTCGTTTTGTATTTATTTATTCTGCCAAGTATTAAAGTGCCATAAAATGTACTTTTGTTTTGAATATTGAGGGGTTTTTTTGACTAAAAATCTAGACTTGGATGGGTGTGGTAGGAAGGGTCAGGCTAAAGTTGAGAAGGAAATTATTGGAAGAAAAAATAGCACATAAGCCTGAATAGTAGCTGCCTATCCCAAGATATTATGATTTGTTATAGGTAATGTGTCCTAAGTTCAATTTTAAGATTTTTAATAGGTCAGTTTATCTACATAGTGAAGGTATGATTTAACATTGGGAAATGTTTTCCTAGATATTGAGGATGTAATTCAGATCTCTTCTCAGTTTTTAAAAATTGTTAATGCTCTGTTGATTCATACTGACTGTCTATAATTCATAGAGAAAAACTTTAAATTAAAAAGGTTATTTTTTAACATGGTTTTACTTCTGTACAGTCATGGTCAGAGAGACACAGCACAAATTCTTCTGTTACGAGGAGCTAAATATCTGTCAGATAAAAATGGAGTAACGCCTCTGGATTTATGTGTACAGGTATGTTGTTAATGCATATTCTTAGCTCTTTACTTTATAATAGAAACTGACACTGGTAAAGTCACTTTTTTCCCTCAAATGAGAGGATAGATGCAAAGATGTTTATTCTGTAAAGAATATGATTTTTTATTTTTATTTTTTTGTTTTTATTTTTTATTTTTTTAGAATATGATTTTTTAAAAAAGAATATGATCTTGAAAAAGGAACTGTGATATTATAAGAAATATATATTGGTCTTTTTTTTTTTAAGATTTTATTTATTTATTCATGAGAGACACAGAGAGAGAGAGAGTGAGAGACACAGGCAGAGGGAGAAGCAGGCTCCATGCACCGGGAGCCCAACGTGGGATTCGATCCCCGGTGTCCAGGATCACGCCCTGGGCCAGAGGCAGGCGCTAAACTGCTGCGCCACCCAGGGATCCCTATATTGGTCTTCATCCCAGTTCTTAACACAAGAGTCTCTCAGGCACTTGGACTCTCCAGAGTGAAAAGAATGTTTTTGTACACTAATGAGGTGGCTGGTTGCTTCTGGATAGGTGCTGGTTGTCAGGGAAGCCAACCATGTGACTACAGAGCAGTGTTGTATCCCACTCCCAGGGAGGTAAGGAGGACTGGAGATTGACTTTAGTCATCAGTGACCAATAATTTAATTAATCATGCCTATGTAATAGAAATTCCATAAAAATCCTATATACAGTGGGGTTCTTAGGGAGCTTCCTGGTTGGTGAACACATCAGAGTTGTGGGATGGTGCCACACCCAGAGAGGATATGGAAGCTCTATGCCCCTTCCCAAATACTCTACTCTGTGTATCTCTTCCATTTCGCTGTTCCTGAGTTATATGCTTTATAGTAAAGTGTCTCCCTGAATTCTGGAAGCTTTATCAAACAGCAAATAGCAGATCATCAAACCTGAGGAAGGATTAATGGGAACTCCTGACTTATAGCTGGTTAGTTAGAAGTATGGGTGGCCTGGTCTTGTGAATGGCTTCTGAAGGGGGGGCACTTTTATGAGACTGAGCTCCTAACCTGTGAAGTCTGTGTTAACTGTGTGTAGTTAGCATCAGAATTGAATTAAGTTGTATGACACTTAGTTGGTGTTTATAGTCAGTTGGAGAATAGCTTGGTGTGGAAAACCTACACATTTAGTATCAGATTGGTATGTAGAGGAAATAAATTCTCCATTAGGAACTTTTTCAAAAATTTAGATAATTTGAAATATCTCTCTCTCTCTCTGTCTCTCTCTCTCTCTCTTTTAGGGTGGCTATGGAGAGACTTGTGAAGTATTAATTCAGTATCACCCTAGGCTTTTCCAGACAATTATTCAAATGACACAGAATGAAGATCTCCGAGAAAACATGGTAATGTAATTGTACTATAGCTTTTAAATGAACGAGCTTTGTTCATGCTTAGCATATATGGTATTTTAAAATGTACTTAGTAATTTTATTATTACAAATATTTTAATGATTCAAATTTATCTGCATTATAGGAAAGTATAAATAGTATACTAATAAATTTTGTGCTATTATTTAGCCCTATGAACCTTCTGGCCTCTGGGTCTTTGTTTTGTTTTTAAAGATTTTGTTTGTTTATTTGTTTGTTTATGAGAGAGCATGTTTAGGAGGAGAGGGAGGGAAAGAATTTCAAGCAGACTCTGCACTGAGCATAGAGCCAACCTGAGGCCCAGTCCCATAGTCCCATAGCCCTGAGCCAAAACCAAGGGTCAGATGATTAACCAACTGAACCACCCAGATACCCCTGGGTCTTTGGTTTTTGCTTAAAAGAATTGGAATTTTCTCCATAGATAGGGGGAAAATAACTAAGGAGGAATATCATCGTATCATTGGTAATCATTAGTTTATAATAGCTTTACTCTGAAAAATTGCAGAGCTTAAACTTCTCATATATTAAAGTTTGGAATTCAGATTGTGTAAATTAACTTGGTGATTTCTATTTATATTTCTTATTGCTTTTTTACTGGGTGATTTTGAAAAGATTTTATGTCATCTGTATATTAGCTTTTGAATTTATGCAAGACAAAATAACTGTAAAGGACTTGATTTTAGCTACTTGGCTTTGGGATACTTTTTAAACTAATAGATACTCAATTTCTTGATAAAGTTTAATAGATTATTGTATAATCACATTTTGTTTTACTTGTAAAAAATTTAGTTACGGCAAGTTCTGGAACATTTGTCTCAGCAAAGTGAAAGCCAGTACCTAAAGATTCTAACAAGCCTTGCTGAAGTTGCCACAACAAATGGGCATAAACTGCTTAGGTAAGTGTTTCAAAATATAGACAAATCAATAGGTAGTGGTATCTGTCAGCTTTGTGTTTTTTTTTGGCTTTTCTGGGAATGGTTTATTTTGTTGGATGTTTTCATCAGTGGTAAGATGTTCTAAAAATTTGCTGACTTATTCTTTCGTTTTAAAGGACTAGGGCAGTCAGCTCTTACTGGGAGATATTTGTCTAGAGAGACTAAAAATATTTACTTAAGTGGATTTGGACATAGGTGTCTAAAATTTTATAAAATGATAGATTAGTCATCTAAGTAAATATACATAAAGAAGAATCAGAAAGTTTAGGAGTCTTTTTTTTTTTTTTTTGGTCCCTCCTTCAAGAAAATAGTTTAGGAATGTTGATCACTATAGAACTGTGTATGGACTACTGTTCAGCCTCTCAATATATCCACATGATTCCTTATAAAGTTTTTTCCTTAAACTGTCCTCCTCTGTTCAATTCTTTATTCTTTTTTTTTTTTTAAGTTTATTATTTATTCATGAGAGACACACACAGAGAGAGAGGGGCAGAGAAAGAGGCAGGCAGAGGGAGAAGCAGGCTCCATGCAGGGAGCCTGGCATGGGACTCAATCCCAAGTCTCCAGGATCAGGCCCTGAACTGAAGGCGGCACTAAACCGCTGAGCCACTCGGACTGCCTGTTTAGTTCTTTATTCTTTCAAAAGATGCTGTGAGGGGATCCCTGGGTGGCGCAGCGGTTTGGCGCCTGCCTTTGGCCCAGGGCGCGATCCTGGAGACCCGGGATCGAATCCCACGTCGGGCTCCGGTGCATGGAGCCTGCTTCTCCCTCTGCCTGTGTCTCTGCCTCTCTCTCTCTCTGTGACTATCATAAATAAATAAATAAATATATATTAAAAAAAAAAAAAAAAAGATGCTGTGGTTTTAATGACTCATTGCTGTGTCCATGGAGGTAATGCCTTTATATTACTTGTGTTTATATATATATTGCATTTTCCTGTACCCATACTTCACTGTATGTTAGCTCCCCTTAATCAGGAATAAACAGCCCCAATTAGGTATAAGCAGCCATTTAGGGGCACCTGGGTGGCTCAGTTGGTAAGTGTTTGACTTTTTTTTTTTTTAAAGATTTTATTTATTTATTCATAGAGACAGAGAGAGAGAGGCAGAGACACAGGCAGAGGGAGAAGCAGGCATCATACAGAGAGCCCGACATGGGACTCGATCCAGGGTCTCCAGGATCAGGCCCTGGGCTGCAGGCGGCGCTAAACTGCTGCGCCACTGGGGCTGCCCCAGTGTTTGACTTTTGATTTTGATGCAGGTCATGATTTCAGGGTTGTGAGATTGAGCACTGTGTCCAGCTCCGCACTCAGTGTGGAGTCGGCATGGGATTCTCTTTCTCTTCCTCTGCTCCTCACCCTGCTCCCTGTTCCCGCACATGTACATGCTCTCTCTCAAATAAATAAATCTTAATAAAAAAGGAATAAACAGCCATTTAGAAATGGTTCATGTGTTTTTTTCTTAGCTGATAAATTTGGCCCACTTCTAATTTGGATGCTTTCTCCTTTGCAGTTTCCTTCTCATGTTTTTTAATACTTTGACAGTCTTAGAATAGGTCATGGTCTTCTCTGTCTCCGTGTTTGCAACTGGAGTTTCTTCCTCCCGACACTCTGCTGTTTCTATAAATCAGCTACATTTTCAAATCCATTAAGTTAGCCCTTTTTTTTCTCTCTTCCTTGGGCTTTTCATATACTTTATTCAGATTGGATCATGCTCTATACCATTTACTTAGAAGGGTTTTTGCTAGGCCCCTTATCTTTCATGGTACCAACATTACCCTCTTGTGTTTTTCCATTAAGTCTTTCTTCAGCATTTCTACTCACTATACCATCTGCTAATTTTTTTTTTTTATTCAGTTTCTACCTTTGAGACCACTTTAGATTCTGTTTATGGGATTCACTGAATTTCAGCTTTATGTAATGCTCTTGTTTTAATTAGTCATATCTGTTAATCCATTTATTTGATGAGTACTTTCAATTCAGACATACTAAATAAAGGCATGGCTTGGGAGTCAGCCAGACTCAGGTTTAACTCCAGATATCACTATTTACTATGTGATTTCAGCAAGTAACTGTTCTGAGTTTCCCTTTATCATCTACCCATGTATCTAATATATGTTTCTGAGTGCCTACTATCCACCAGGCCACCTATAGCTGATTGTGAATAAAACAGACAAGATCCCTCCTATATTTAATTTACAACCTATTCAGGATTTTATTTCCATATTGGAAAATGGTATTAAATATCTTCTTAATGAACTATTGTAAAATACAATGATAAGGTACTAGAAAGTGCCAAGCATAGTGTGTGGCACATAGTAAAGATGATGATTATGATTATATAAATGGAAAATGTCAGAGATAATGCTTTTGGTTATTATAAATACTCTACATTTCTTACATTAGAAACTTAACCTATTTTTTTGTTTAAGTCTTTGTCTTATTTTTTGCTTTTCCACAGTAATGAGAAAGTCTGTTTTTATGTATTTATGTTAAGTTTACCTTTAATAGTTATTAACCACGCACTCAACTAAGGAACATTCAAATACATTATTTCATTTAAACCTCACAGTAATTTTGTTATTTAGAAAGTTATTTCCATTTTACATAGAAGAAAACTGAAGTTTAACGATTTACCAAGCTATACACATTAGAAGAACCAGGATTTCTATTATCATTAGTAAAGGGCAGATTCTGGATTCCAATTTGGAACAAGTAATAAAGGAGTTTAGTGGAACAGAAGTAGGGTAGGAGAAAGGGAGCTATAAACATAACAAGTTTTTTTTTTTTTAAGATTTTTATTTTATTTATTAGCGCACATAACAAGCAGGGGAAGTGGCAGGCAGAGGAAGAGGGAGAAGCAGGCTCCCCATGGAGCAGGGAGCCGACATGTGGCTTGACCCCAGGACACTGGGACCTGAGCCAAAGGCAGATGCTTAACTGACTGAACCACCCAGGTGTCCCATCGCACAACCATAGAAGTTTTAAAACTTTTTGCTAACCTGCATTGCCTCACGACTTATAATGCTACTTTTCATATGTTCTGTGAAATCTGTTAATTATGGCCATTTTGGGGTTCTGTGTATCTTTTTCTTGAGATTGGTAGTGAGTATTGGTTATTAGTATTTTATTGGAATTTACTGTATTGTTTTCTGTTTTGGGAAATCCTGTGTTTCTCCTTTACTCTCACACTACTACCACACTTACCAAGATATGTGGGTTTTTTATTCCTCAGACCAAGAAATTCTTTAGACAGCAGCTGTGTACAGTTTAACTCAGCTTTGACAACTGTCCATCTAGAGATACATCAGATCTTAGAGGTTAAGGGCTTATTCCTGTGAGACTGATCCCACTTTCAGATGCCAATTGCAAGTAGTAGGTCCCCAGATTACCTATAGGCTCTGTCTGACTTCACTTCGTATCAGATTCTCATGACCTTCTTCCCCTTAGATTTATTTTTTAGAATAGCTCAAAGTATTCAAATTGGGACTCAAAGTATTCTTATTTCGATTTACCACTCTATTAAAGATATGATAAAGAATGTAGATGATCAGCGAGGTAAAGAGATATGTAGGGGAAGGTGCTGGAGGATCTTGAGCACAGGAGCTTATGTCTCCATGGAGTTGAGGGTGTTGTCTCCCTCCCAGTATGTGGATATGTTCAGCAACCTGGAAGCTTCTTGAATCCCATATTTTTAGGCTTTTTGTGGAGGCTTTATCATGTAGGCATGTTGATCATTAACTGCATTTCCAGGCCCTCTTCCGTTTCTGGAAAATGTGAAGTGGGTCTGGAAATTCCAAGCTTCTGATCATGGCTTCATCTTTCTTGTGGCCAGCCTCCGTCCAGGAGCCCACCAAGAGTCACCTCAGGAGAACAAGAAACACTGCTATCACCCAGAAATTATAAGAGGTTTAGGAGCTGTATATTAGGAAGTGGGATCAAAGATCAAATATTAGAACAAAAGATGCTCCTAGTGCTCTTATCACTTAGGAGATTATGAGGATTTTAGGAACTCTGTGTCAGGAACCAGGGGCAGAGACCAATATATATATTTGCTGTTATCTCCCAACTGCCAAGGTAGAGTCTTAAGAGGATCTCAAATACAAATTATTCCTCCCTACCAGTTTATGTTTCATGGTACTTTTGCAAATTGTTCCCTTTCTGTTTATTCATTTGTGAATCATTTTATGTTTCTTAACCCATAATGTGATATAATTTTGGCCATTTACTTTAACAGAAATTTTAATTAAGGAAAACTGATACAAATATATAGTGACAATTGAGATATTATTTAGCTTACCCTTAAAAAAATGGATAGCCTTTTGTTTAACTGATTCTAGGGATATTTACTAAGGACAAATATTTATTAAAGGCCCTTTTGCGGATAATGTTGTGTTCTTCTAAATAAGTACGTTATCTTGCTTTCTGTATACATATGGTTAAAGATAAAGATAGTTATCAATGTGTAAATGAACAGAAATCACAACTGTTTGCTTAGTAAGGCACTGAATCAAAGTATACTCTTATGTAAATGAAAGGTAAGTACATTGATAGGACTTTGAAATAGGAAATTAATGTTAAAACTTTTATATTGAGACCTCATGGCTTGGGAAGAAATTATCATTTTATGATTAAATGGAGGATATGATGAAGCTTGGATTTTATGATCTTTTTGTATAATACTAAAGAGGTATTTCACAGGTTGTAAAGTGAAAAATAACATTTTTTAGATCCAGTGAATTAGCTTGAAGAACTTTAAACTGGATATAGTAATACAAAGTTTTAGACTGTATTAATAATAGACAGTGATATTCAGATTCCACTGTGTAAGAAAATACTTCTTAAGATGTCTCATGAAGTGTTTCCTAGATCAGGTACTTAATTAAGTTTTTATATCTATGGTAATGTTGCAGAGGATTTACCTCTTTCTCATGGAAGAATTTGAGAATCATTATAGTTAAACTTTTCTGAGTGACAACACAAAGAAAGAAAGAGTTTCAGCTAAACTACATTTCTATTTTATCAGTCTTAACAATCTTTGGCTATAAAATTAGAAACACTTCATAAAGTGTTTCAAAATCAGTACAAGCTAAAGTAGTGATTTTATACACATTTAATTCAAAGTTACTAAAACAAAAAGTTTTGCTAAGTAGCTTTCCCAGTTTAATACAGTGTGGATAGCAGCAACTGTTACGTTTCACTAACAATTGGAACTGATAGCTAATTTTTATTGACTACTTTTAACCATTTAATAATTCCTAGAATGAGAAACAACAGGAATATTGAAGTGAAAATGTCAGAAAACTTTGGGTTCACATGTCACCAGGTTAGAAAATACCCTCTATTTGGCATTACCACACTGAAATTCTTAGAAGTAGGCATTTGTCATTTCCACATTACTAATTCCCCCTCTTTTTTTTTTTTAATTATCATTATTGACATACAATGTTACATTAGTTTGTGTACAACATACATAGTGATTCAACAATTCTGTATGCTACTCGGTGCTTATCATAAGTAGAGTCACCGTATGTCACCATATAACATTATTAAATATTATTGAGTTGACATACCATCTATCTATCTACCAATTGATGGACATACCATTCTGCCCAGAAGTTTATGCAACTCTTTACTCTATTGAGCAACTATTGTAATACAAGATAAGTGATGTTAGAGATTTCAAAATGAAACCACCACTTGAATGACAAGAGGTTTTTTTTTCCTTAGGATTTGTCATTGGATTCAGTACAGATTTAGCCTAACTCCTACAGTTTCTCTGTGGAAGGGTAGTTGGTTGATATTTGTAATGATTAACAATCCCCAGGCAGTGAAGAATTCTAAAGGTCTTTTTGATTTGTCAAAGGTTTGTATTATATTCAGTATTATTGTGTTAGTTGGATTTGAGTTTTTCTTTTCTTTTTTCCATAGTGGGATATATCCTATATTTATATAGAGTCATAAGACTACCCATTATGTGAGAACCACCCTTGCTGATAGTAACTTTAAGATTATTCAATTTGTAAATGTTCTACTGTACAGAACAATTGGTTACTATTCTGGGGAGTGGAGGGAAAATGAGGTTATGGATAGGAGAGTAGAAAGTTCAGCTTCTACAATTGAGTTGTGGGTTGACTTAACATAATCAACATTTCTATCATTGTTTCTCTGTGAAATATTCTCAGAGTTCTAAAGACTCAGTGTAATTTACATTATATACTTTGGGAAGTGAAAGTTCGAATTTGCCTTAAGTTGGTGCCTCAAGAAACCATTTTACAGTGGTGCTTTTCTTCATAGTTTTATGCTTTGATTATCAGTTTTATTCTGATTGCTTAAACATTAATAATTCATTCATATGCAATCCAAATAATGTATAGCAACTTCCTATTAAAACATTCCAACCCTGTCATGGTAGGAATTTGCTCCTTATATTAGGAAACCTGCATGGTCAGTGTAATTTGAATGTTTTAAATTAAGATGTAATTTGTTTTATTTCACCTAACCTGTTCATATTTTAATTTTTATTTTCAGTCTGTCTAGTAATTATGATGCTCAGATGAAGAGCCTCTTAAGGATTGTGAGGATATTTTGTCATGTCTTTCGAATTGGTCCATCCTCTCCCAGTAATGGAATCGATTTGGGCTACAACGGGAATAAAACTCCAAGAAGCCAAGTGTTCAAGGTCAGAAAAATATATGACATTATTAGGAAGATAGATGAAAAAGAGATGAATTGGACAAAGCATGCTTTCATTAGTCAGAAACCTCATAAACTAAGTTTACTTCCTACTCATATCACATTTTAAGTTAGGTACACTTTTCTCCTTTCATTTCTGTCTAATCATTAGAAATCCTAAGTGGTGAGCTTTCTTCTGTATTTTTCTTGTAACTAACATTGTAATTCCATTAGTGTATTTTAAGATTAAAGATACTTAATTTTTAAGTCTACTTTTTTATTGGGTTACAGGTAAATGTGACAATATGCAGCCATCATGTGTTTTTTTTTTTTAATTTCTTATTCAGAAGGAAAGAAAACATCTAGTTTTCTTTTTTTCTCTTGTGTCTATTTTTTTAAAGTTTTAATTTTAATTCTAGTTGGTTAACATACAGTGTTAAAGTTAGTTTCAGGTATACAGTATAGTGATTCAGCAATTCCATACGTCTCCCTGTGCTCATTATGACAAATGCACTTCTTAATCCTCATCACCTATTTAACCCGTCCACCTCCCCTCTGAACATAATTGTTCTATTTAGAGGTTATTATCATGTGTGTGTTATGTATGTGTATGTGTTTTTGAAGTAAGCTTACGTTCATTTCCTGGATTTACTACCAATTCTTGAGATCACTTCAAGGAAAAATCATTGAGATATTTTCTTTGCTTTTTTTTTTTTTTTTTAAAGATTTTATTTATTAGAGAGCAGGAGCAAGATGGAAGGTGGAGAGAAGGATGTGAGGGGAAAAGGGCAAGGGAGAAGCAGGCTTCCCGCTGAACAGGGAGCCAGACACAGGGCTGGATCTAAGCGGAAGGCAGATGCTTAACCAACTGAGCCACCACCCAGGCGCCCCATATATTCTTTAAATATTTTGTATTGCATCAGCTGCTTCCTGTAAGACCCAAGACAATGTTGCCACCCAAATCAAATTAAAATTTTACGAACTAAGCAAAATGAACGTGGCTATAATTGCTATTGTTAAGGCTTTTTTGTGGCATTTTATTTTTAGACAACTCAGATGTTGGACGAATGTGTAATTTTATAACTGTTTTTGTGTTATTTTTTAAAGGTAATTTAAGGGATTTTCATAGCATAAAATTTGCTTTTGGGTTCACAAAGGCTTCTATTTCTTTAGTCTTTTGAGTATAAATACAGGTTATCTATCCAAAAAGTGATATAAACATTTTTATGTGCCATTTCCTCAGATTGATAGCTTTACTGTCTGTAAAATTTAAAGTAAAACTAATGAACTATGCTAAATGATTCTTTTCTTACACAGAAATTTTTTGGGCACTTACAGATAGGTGTTTTGGAAGTATTTTGACACTAGTAGATTTTTTAATAACCTAAAATGGATATGATAGGCTTTCAGAAAGGTTTGTCTTGCATCTGTTTGCTTCACTATTTTTTTTTAAAGAATTAGTATAAGAAAGAGTTTGCAGCTGTGTGTGTGTGTGTGTGTGTGTGTGTGTGTGTGAGAGAGAGAGAGAGAGAGAGAGAGAATGTTTCTTATTTTTCCTTCCCTTTTTTTTCCCTTATTGTGCCACCTCCTGGAAGAAGTCAGTTATACATCTTCTTATAATTCAAATTTTGGCTTTTTACATACCACTTCTTCAGCACTTCTTGTGTCTGTTTTTTAAAATAGTGTTTGGAGTGATAACTTGCTATCCTTGCAAATTTTGAATCTAAATATTGTTGCACTGTTTTGTCAGTGTTGTTTTAAGTGAATTTTACTGCTTAAACATTCACATTCCATGCAATTATTCTTAATGTATTCTTGTGTGGCCCAGGCTGTTGGTTACTGAATCTAGGCTTGATTTCATTTTCTGCTTATCCTCTCTACTTATGTATAATGATGAATACAAAATAAAATCAGGTATAAATAGAATCACTGTTACCCAAATTGCATGTAGGTTATATTCACTCTTGTCTGATGTCTTTGGTGCTGTCGTTAAAATTTAAGTCTGCCATGTGTTTGCTAATGACATCAGAAAATAAGTTGTGTGCTAATTAGTAGCCTCTGTGTGGGAATTTAATGCTTGACTTAAAATGTTAGTTTTCTATCTAGCCCATCATTACAGGTATAATAGAGTAGAAAAGGCTATCACTGGTTTTCTTTGTGCTTTTCTTTTATGAAATCTAAACTCTGTTTTTGATTGTCATATATCAATGACACATATAATATAAAAAGTTCCTTTTGTTAGTTTCTTTTTTCTTTTTTTAAGGTAATTTTTTTTCCATCATTGACAACTACTTATACCTCTGACCACTCATTTTCTCTTAAAATTTGACCTTGCACATTAGTAAAATATTTTTATTACAAAACTCACCTAATTTTTAAAAAACATTAGATGTTACTATTAAAACATATAGGCTCTTTCATATAATTGTGTGAGTTAAATGTAGACTGGAGGATGACAAAATGATCTGCCCTCCAACTTACAAGGATAAAATATAGAAACTGTGTTGTCATCTGTGTATATAAAGTCTTCGGTTCACTGTGGGGTGATTCACAGTTGTAAAGATCATAACCATTTCCTGAGTTCCTGCAATGCTAGATTGGAAATACCATCTTAATTTTTACCACATTTTGTCTAAGGTAGCAGGTGATCCCTACTTTCTATTTCATTAACTAGGTACTCTGACATGTCACTTTATTGTTAGGATTAACTAATGGGTTTTCCATTAAGTATGAGTGGATTTATAGGCCACGTGGTTTTAGTAGGTGAAATTGTTTAACATCCTGTTACTAGTTTTCTGATTTATCTAAGAAATCCTTTAAGTTAATCTTAACACTTAGCCATTTTTTTCGGTGTTAAGAGATATATATCTAGTGCCTTGGGAACTTTGGGGCATCTGAGGGAGAAGGTAGTTATGGTTATTGAAGCAGTGGGAGCATGGGGAAGACAATTTAGGCTTCCTGAATCTTGATATGGGGTGTGTGTGTGTGTGTGTGTGTCTGAGAGAGAGAGAATAGTAAGCTGTGACTATTAACACTTTCATAAAATTATAATTGGGTCTATTTGGAAGACAGAAAAGATTGAGAAATTTTTTACATTAAAATCTTATCTTTGGGGTTATAACTTTTGATATTATCAAATTGAGAATAGACTAAGAGAAAATTTCAAGACACTATTAGAGAACTTAAATTAGTAATGCTTTCCTATAAAATCTGTGTCTCACTCTGGTATATGGATATTAATAATTTTTTGGATATTAATAATTTTAACATTATCCAACAAGTTGAGATTTTTATATATAACAGCTTTGAAATAGGACCTAAAATGTTTTGAAAATCATGTATGATAGTCACAGCATTGTTACTATGTGTAAAATATATTTCTGTAGTAAAGACTATTCCGTAATATGAAATGAAGCAGTATTTCACAATGCCAAGAAGCCTGCTAATGGCTTCTATAGTCATTGATCCATTTTCCATAGTCATTGACTCATTTTTCAGTAATAGTTGATATATTTGTATCTTATCTAATGTTTTTATCATTATTATTTATAGATATAGAAAGCATCATAGATAAGCTTTGCAATAGTTCATTTTTTGTCTGAGGCTGCTACACCACAGTTAGAAATTAAAGTTATTTTCACAGTTTTCTTTTTGTTATTGAGGCATGAACTGAAAAAAATCTTCAAAGGGACAACTCTCTACGTAAAGATACCTTGAGGTTGGAAATTAGTTTTAATGCATGTGTGAATGAAGAACGAAAAGATAGGGAAAAAGATAGGGAAAAGAGAAAAGTAAAGAAAGGTCTAAGATGACTTACCACTTCTTTTTTCCCTCAATCTCTTTTAATTTTTGCTATGTTCCTTTACCAAAAACTCTTTCTAGAACTATTATTTTTACACAGATCTGGCTTTTAAAAAATTGTTTCTGGATTATTCAGAATTGACCTTTAATTTTTATGCATTGTCAGTGTTTAAAAGTAGGATTGTTGTTGATTCAGTCTTAGAGCTCTCCTCTGTGTGAGCATTTAGGTATCATTTCTTGCCTTAGGCTTCATCTCCATCCAGTGTGGTCATTTTCTAGGTTTTTAGCCCATCTCATTTAGAGGCCAATTATTCCTTTTGCCTTTTGTTTCAAGAAGTCTTACATTCCCACATGTTCTTTCTTTTTTGGAAGTTCATTTGGTGACGTAAAACTAAAAGTTTTGCTAGCATAAAAAGTTCTTTTTCATCTTTTACAGCAGGTTTAATGTTTTGCTCATGAGGAGAATAAAGACATTTTCGGTGCAGGTGGCACATCAGTGTTTATGGCAGCTGGTACTTCTTGCACTTCCTTTCAGCATCTCAGGGATCCTGGATCTCCCAACTGCTGTGCCTGACCATGGAAAAGCCTTCTTTGTGGGGGACAGGAGTGCTTATTTCAGCCTCAGAGTATAATTAGTTTCTTACTTTGCTTAACTGTTGCCTAGTGTGTACTAACTAAATATTTGTTAAATGAAGCAAATAGGTTTTTGTTGGTGATAGTGGGGGCTTTTTGCTTTATTTTGTTTTGTTTGCCTCTTTTGGTTTGTTACAGTGATGACTTGGGCTGATCTAATCATTTGCAAATGCAGTAAGTCAAATATTCTCAAAAAGAGAATGTTCTGGAAATCTGAAGAAAGGCTGAACATATAGCAGATGAATTTGTTAGAAAATAATTGTAGGGGGGATGAGTTAAATGGGTGATGGGCATTAAGGAGAGTATGTGATGTGATGAGCACTTAGTGTTAAACACAACTGATGAATTCTGGAGCACTACATCAGAAACTAATGATGTACTACTATATGTTGGCTAATTGAATTTAAATCTTAAAAAAAGAGAAAATAACTGTAAAGAATTTCCTGGAAGAACAGGTTGTTTAAATATTCCCTAAACTTCCAAATATATTTGTAGAATCTATTTCCATAAAGTAAGATTTTAATATTTTAATCTTAAAAAGTAACATTATTTCTTTTGGTTGAAATATTGTAGGCATGGGTCTTTCTGAAGCACATGGTCTAATGTGTAGCATTCTGTGATCCTATAAGAAACAAAAAGGAAGAGTAACTTTTATATTTGCAGAAAGACAATTCATCATTCTCAATAGGAATGTTTAAAGTAGGGATCCCTGGGTGGCGCAGCGGTTTAGCGCCTGCCTTTGGCCCAGGGCGGGATCCTGGAGACCCAGGATCGAATCCCACGTTGGGCTCCTGGTGCATGGAGCCTGCTTCTCCCTCTGCCTATGTCTCCGCCTCTCTCTCTCTCTCTCTCTCTCTCTCTCTCTCTCTCTCTTTCTCTCTCTCTCTGTGACTATCATAAATAAAAAAATTAAAAAAAAAGGAATGTTTAAAGTAGTGTAGGAATAAAGGAGCATTTAACTGCTATCCTTGCCACCCCCCCATAATTGTTAAGTTTTTATTTGGGGTTAAAAATGTTCTAGCGGTCTTTTTTCCCCCAAGTTCTATTGAGATATAACTGGCCTATAACACTGTGTAAGTTTAAGGTGTACAAGTGTGATAATTTGGTACATGTGTATAAGGTCAGTTAACACATCCTTCTCTCATATTATTACCATTTTCCTGTTGTTATGATGAGGACATTAAAGCTTAACTCTCATAGCAACTTCCAAGTAAACCGTACAGTATTACTAACTAGTTATGGTGGTGAATACTAGATCACTGCTAGCTTGTTGTTTGATAGTATTTCTCCTTGTTAAAAATTAATGGGGGACGCCTGAGTGGCTCAGTGGTTGAGTGTCTGCCTTTGGCTCAGGTCGTGATCCTGGGGTCCTGGGATTGAGTCCCACGTTGGACTCCCCACAGGGAGCTTGCTTCTCTCTCTGCCTGTGTCTCTGCCTCTCTCTGTGTCTCTCATGAATAACTGAATAAAATTTTTAAAAATTACTAATTATTAGGGATGATGTATGTATTTAATTTTTTTTAGTACTTGGTCCTATTGTAGCTTTTGTGATCACATAATATATAAAAAGGAATTTCATTTGTTGTTAATTTACAAAAGATATTTCATTATTCTTAAAAGGAATATTTTAAATAGTGTAGAAATAAGAAACACTTTACTCTCTCCCTCTTTTTCTTTTTTTAAGCTGTTAATCTTTACTTGGAATTAAGAATTTGCTGGTCAGTATTTGATAATTACTAGTTATTAGAGATGGATTTTATGTATATGTGCATGGAAACATGTATGTGTATATATAAATATTACATCATATTTTTAACTTTACCATAAAATTTTCAAAATTCTGTGAATTACTTGTAAAAAAAGAGCACAGTAAACTTTTTTTAAAAACTTATTTCTTTTAGTAATCTCTACACTCAGTGTGAGGCTCCGAACTCTGAGATCAAGTTGCATGCTGCACTGACTGAGCCAGGCAGGCACTCCAAAACTAAGCTGTTTATTAAACTTTTTTAGAAATTCTAGTTTTTCTAATTGAGAAAAGATTTATAATTGAAAATTGTTGACACATGAATATAGTAAAGGTTGGGGGATTGTATATATAGAAGTAGTATATGTTTTTAAAGCTAAGTTTTTGAAAAATTTTATTTATTTATTTTTTATTATTTTTTTATTTTTTTGAAAAATTTTAAAAGAGGATAGATTGCTTATAAATTTTTTTGTTAGGCTTTAGTTTTACCTTTTTATCCCAAGGAATAAATTTTTGCTATAAGCAAAGAAATTGTTATTTATGTGGCATTTATGTTTTTGTTACTTACCTTTAGGCATTGTTATGACATTAACTTGGGAAAATAGAAATCTCTAGAATAAATTTTCTCTTTTATATTATTTTTTTGTGTGAGGTTTTTTTCTCCTGGAGTTTAAGAATGATGTTTAAAAAACGCTTCTGTTTTTCTCCTAGCCTCTTGAATTGCTTTGGCACTCATTAGATGAATGGCTAGTTTTAATAGCTACAGAATTGATGAAAAACAAAAAGGACTCCACGGATATCACTTCTATTTTACTGAAACAAAAAGGCCAAGATCAAGATGGTACTTCCATTCCTCCATTTGAACCTCCAGGACCTGGGAGCTATGAAAATCTATCCACTGGCACAGGAGAATCTAAACCAGATGCTCTTGGAGGGAAACAGGAAGCCAGTGCAGACTGTCAGGATGTTATTTCTATGACAGCTAACCGGCTAAGTGCTGTCATTCAAGCTTTTTACATGTGCTGTTCTTGTCAGATGCCTCCAGGGTAAGATTTCTGCTTATTATTTCCTTTTCTGATAGATGAAGAAAAGCTATGATTTTTTTGTAACTTCAGTAACAACAGATAATAATTTGTTGATTTTAGGTTCTGTGTTGATGTTTTATGATACTTTACTAATCTAAAAATATTTGAGTTTTAAGATTATATAAGTTATTAATTAAAGATCCTCACTTTGTATAGGATACTTAATTATGTATTCAAAATGTATAGAGCAAAGATGTTTAAAATTTCAAGATTTTTAAACAGTTACTGTTTTATCTTATAAATTGACTAGGTATGCCTCAGTTTCTTAAATTTTTGTAAAGACAGTCCAAACCCATATCCTTTTTTTTTTCTGTATAGAAGCCAGTCCATATCTGTACATCATTATGAAATTTGCTGTATCATCAATTTCTCTGTGTTCTGATTGGTTTTTTTATCACCCACAGAATGACCTCACCCCGTTTCATTGAATTTGTCTGCAAACATGATGAAGTTTTAAAATGCTTTGTTAATAGGTAAGGCTTTCTTGGATTCATGCATTGCCCTCGTAGACTTTTATTTCTTTACATAGTTTGTATCTCAACAGAAATAATGTTATTTCTATTACTATTCAAAAAATGCGCCATGACAAGTAAAACTATTATAAGTGTGGATTAATATTTTTTCCTGCTTCAGTATCTGTATATCTGAATTTGCATTTGACTTAATAACAACTCATTCTTCCTGTCCATTCAAACAAATTATATTTTTCTTTTAGAAATCCCAAAATTATATTTGATCACTTTCATTTCCTCCTTGAATGTCCTGAGTTGATGTCAAGATTCATGCATATCATAAAAGCACAGGTAGAGATTTCTCTTAATCTTTTTAGTCTGTCTAATGAAAATTTTTAAAATTTGAGTGCTATTTAATGATGTTAATTATTATACTTGGACCTCCTGCTATAAGAAGAGTGAAATTGCCTTATTCTTTATATTAGTATGTGGAATTACATTAGTATGTTGCTTTAATATGAGGAGCATTTTTTTTTTTTTATCTTTAAGGAGGTGTGTATTGAGTGCCCACTGTGCGCAAAGACAACAGAATACATTGCCACATTTCCTGAAATGGGTTTCATGGAATATTTGTCCTATAAGATTAATGATCCTTGAGAAAAGGATTTTATCCCCAAATGCATTTGGAAAATATAATAATATCTCTGTTGGAGATTTATAAAGCATATCAACAGCTTGTTAAAAGGCTTTGAGAAGCCCTTTGCCTAAAATAGTGATTAAACTTTTTTAATCCTCCAAATTTATTTGACCTGAGAGCCTTTTCCCTAGTAGCAAAGTTCATTCCTCATATCTCATGTTTCATGACATTCTAGGGAAAAGGTTGTTTTTGCCAGCTGTGTAATTTGGGGCACGTTTCCAACATCCTTGAGTCTTGGTTTCTTCATCTATAAAATAGAGATAATGATACCAATTTCACAAAACTATTGTGAAGAATAAATATAATTGGTATGTATGTTCAATAAATGGTAGTTATTTGGAGATAGAAAGCATATGTCTTTTTTCCAGAAAGATCTTAATTCATTCTAGCAGGGGAGATAATAAATGTACCTATGAAACAGTAATTATATTATTATCTAGTTGTTTAGAAGTTTAAGGGAGGAAGACCTTGCTTTTGCCTGTTGTAGTAAAGGAAAATTTTGAAGAGGAGGTGTATTTTCTGCTGGACCTTGAAAAATATTGCAGAATCTTGCTGGGAGTAAATGAGGAAGATGAACATTCTAGCCAAGATATGGGTCAGGGCTTGTAAATGGAAAAGTGTATAAAATTACAGTGGCTGAAACAAATTTTGTGTAGGTGAGGAATGAGATGTAATTCTGGAAAGACAGGTTGGGATCATACTTTGTTAAACCTTGATTGCCACATTGCAAACCTTTGTTTTCTAGACTCTCAGCAGCCCCTGGTAACTTTGCTTCAGGAGAACGATACGAGCTTGGCAAAACTTCAGGAAATAATTTGTCAAAATTGTAGGATAGACTGGAGGCTCTGGTTTGGTTAGTAGTCATAGATACTGTAGGTGTTTTTAAATGTCTTTAGGGACACTGAATCTTTCAGAAATTAAAGAAAATTAAGAACTACTTTTTATAAAATTATACATGTGTATATAGCTATCCTTTGACGTGTTAAAAACAATAATGTAAAAGAGAAGGTAGTAATAATAACTTATATTTATTAAATGCTAACTCTAGGTCAGATATATATTTGCTTTACATGGTTTTTTTTTAAAGATTTTAATTATTTGAGAGACAGAGACAGCGACAGAGAGCATAAGCAGGGAGGAGAGGGAAAAATAGGCAGCTTGCTGTGCTGGGACCCCAATGCGGGGGCTCGATCCCAAGACCCTGGGATCATGACTGAGCTAAGGAACACGCCCAACCAACTGAGCCACCCAAGTGTCCGACATAGATTATTTTCATAGCAATCATGCAAAGATAGGTACTCTTTAACTGAAGAGATTAAGTACCTTGTTTAAGTCATTCAACTACTAAGTGAGAGAACAAGATTTTAAAAGTCTGTTTTTTATTTTTTTATTTTATTTTATTTTATTTTTATTTTTTTATTTTTTTTTATGATAGTCACACAGAGAGAGAGAGAGAGAGAGAGGGGCAGAGACATAGGCAGAGGGAGAAGCAGGCTCCATGCACCGGGAGCCTGACGTGGGATTCGATCTCGGGTCTCCAGGATCGCGCCCTGGGCCAAAGGCAAGCGCCAAACCGCTGCGCCACCCAGGGATCCCAAAAGTCTGTTTTTTAAATTCAAACTATGTAACTCTAATCTAGGGCAAATGAGATTATGGGTGAAAAAAGCTTCTAGTTTTTTTTTTTTTAAGATTTTATTTAGTTATTCATGAGAGACACACAGAGAGGCAGACATAGGCAGAGGAAGAAGGAGGCTCCATGCAGGGAGCCCGATGTGGGACTTGGTCCCCACCCTGAGCCAAAGGCAGATGCTTAACCGCTGAGCCACCCAGGCATCCCAAGCTTTTAGTTTTTGAAAGAGATAGTTTGTTATTTTTAATATTATCTCTGCTTTTCACTTCTGTTTTCCTCTTCCTTTCCTGGACAATTTAGTCAAAAGCATCTGCATTAAGCTGTCCACCTCTTTCACCACAGAGGAGGTTTTGTTGCCTGGCCAGGGTAAGGAAGGGGTTCACATGCATAGTGGTAGCCAGCCTAGCGTGGGATTTTGGAGCTTGTGTGTGGTAAGGAGATTGTGTCGAAGAGGGGCCCAGCATAGAGATGTGAGTTGGAGCAGCACATGCTGATGTCCAGTGTAGGGGATGGTGACAGGTGCTCAGAGTAGACTGACAGAGCCTGAGTAGGGTAGAGGGCATCCATGCAGTAAAGTGTCCATGTCAGTGACAGGAAATTGGGTTATATACAGGGTGGGGCAGTTTATCAGATAAGTAAGTGTATTTATTATGGGAGCTTGGTTTCTTAGTATTGGAGAAAGGAGTTTCAAAATGGAGGAGAATAGAGTGCACTGTGTGCTGTTATATTAGAATTGAAGATATCGGTGTGAACTTAAAATTTTTAATGTAGATCAATAGGTAAACCAAACCTGGCACCCAGTTCTTGGCCCAGAAACACCGTTCTGAATTAACCAGGGCTTTTTGGACAAATGATTAATTTCAGGGGTAGGTCAGGGAAGTACAAAATGAGCCTGGAACCTCTTTTTATGCAAGAAAGTTGTTCAAAGAGTGATAGGATTATGTCAGAATGACACAGAACCAGCTTGAATGGACACTACTGGCCAAAGGTGAATAATTTGAATATCTAAATAAATAATGATGGCAAAGTATTATAAATAAAATTAGAATCTGTAAGTCTATATTGAAAAAAATTAATAAATGGGAAGTTTGATGAGGGGTGGGGTGTTTTTACAATCTCAGGGTATCTACTAATAGGATGCTTAAGAATTACAAAGATTAAAAACCTAAGTGGAAAACTTGGCAGTGATCAAAATAGGCATATGAATATGCCAGCTGATAGGATGCACTGAGGAGAATGTGGCATCACTTCCTTGATATTCCTGCCAAAGATATACACCCTGAATTTAATTATGAGAAGAACATCATCAGACTGACTACAGTGGAGGGACATTCTCCAAAATAACTGACCTGCAGTTTTTAAAAGTATCAATCAAGGTCGTGAAAATTAAGACACTGAAGAACTGTATCAGGGTGAAAGAGACAGGACAACTGAATCCAATTCAGGAGTCATTTACACTGTGAAGGACATTATTAGGGAACAGATAAAACTTAAAATGGAATCTAAGAATTAGTTATAGTAATGTATCAGGGTTAATTTGTTGATTTTGATGGTTATGTTTTGATGGTTATGTAGGAGAATTGTCTTGATTGTAAGAAATACACACTGAAGTATTTAAGGGTGATTGGATATCATGTTGGCAGCTAACTCATATCAGGGAAAAATGCTTTGTACTCTTTTATATTTAGGAATTTTCTGTAACTTGGAGGTGGTTCACAAAACCCGAAAAATATAAAAGAACAAAATTACCTGTGGTAAGGGATTGACTTTTTGTTCTATTGGTGGCTTTTAGGTGGCCTGTAGTTAAAGGGAGAGACATTTTGTATTGCTGTACAAATGCTTTTAAGAGGAACCTCTGTTGGGTCGCCTGGGTGGCTCAGTGGTTGAGCATCTGCCTGTGGCTCAGGGCGTGATCCCTGAGTCCCAGGATCGAGTCCCACATCGGGCTCCCTGAAGGGAGCCTGCTTCTCCCTCTGCCTGTGTCTCTGTGTCTCTCTCTGTGTCTCTCATGAATCAGTAAATAAAATCTTAAAAAAAAAAAAAAAAAAAAAGAGGAGCCTCTGTGATCAGTCTTGTTTTACAAATTATTTTATGGAAATGCAGGTACTCAGAAACTTTACATACAAAACGTGCTCTTTGACTATTTAGGTGTATATAAATGTGTGTGATGTTTTGATTCTTACAGATCATTTATTAGCTTTTGAAGGTAACATTTTGTACTTTTTATTTTTAAAATTTTTTTATTTTTCTAAATATTTCATTTATTTATTCATGAGAGTCACAGAGAGAGAGAAAGGCAGAGACATAGAGAGAGAAGTAGGCTCCATGTGGGACTTGATCCCGGCCCTCCAGGATCACGTCCTGGGCCGAAGGCAGGCGCTCAACCACTGAGCCACCCAGGTGTCCCACATTTTGTACTTTTTAATGTTTCATTTGAATTATTTTAAAAAATGCCATTTGCTATTATTTCTTGGTTCACTTGTTATAGATAAAGGTTATAGTTTATTATCTTACAATGGTGAATAAGTTTTCTGTCATCTTCCATCATGTTAAATAATTTTAACACTGTTCTGAGTGATGAGAACAATACTTACTTTTTGAACATTCTGGATATTGAGTATTTTCACATGTTCCTTAACCTCTTGGTGCTACATTTTTCTCCTCTGTGACCTGGGGATGTTATGAATCCCTTTTTCTCAGTGTTGGGAGGATTATGTGTAAAAATATGTGTAAAGTGCTTAAAACGGTACCTGGTTAAACAAGTGCTTTAAGAATTATTAGTTAACTAATTATTGCAATTATTGTTATATTCTGTATTTGCATTATTTCATTTAATCCTCACAGCTCTTGAATTTCCCTATTTTACAGGTGGGAAAACTGAAGTTCTGAGAGATTTAGTAATTCCCCTAAGATCACAAACCCAGTAGTGACAGAACCAGGATTCCAAACCATATTTATCAAACTTCAGAACCCTCACTTGAATGTATCACCTCTGTGTAATGTTTTTTTCTCTCCTCTTTTACCAGAGTTTTAGAAATAATCATTAAAACTGCAAGCACTTTATATTCTAGTTTGTTTATTAAAATTTATATGCCCAGTAATTATATGATAACAGCAGTACTTTTTCAGTGAAAGAATATTAGAATTATGGACAAAATTGTACAGTTAAGTCTTATTTATTTATTTATTTATTTATTTATTTATTTATTTATTTATAAAGTTTATTTTGGTAATCTCTACACCCCAAATGGGGCTGGAACTCAAGACCCAGAGATCAAGAGTGCATGCTTCTCTGAATGAGCCAGCCAGATTCCCCAATACATTTAACTTTTAAAAAGAGAGCATTTACTCTTTTTTACTGAAAGAGCAGGTATTAAAAGGCAGAAGTTAATCTCTCACCAGTTACCTTCATAATAATATTTTTATTAAGACTTAATAAAGTAATGTTTAAGCCTTTTGAACCAAAACTAGTATATAATTTAGCTCACATGAAGAAATTTACTAGTGTTCTACAAACTGCCTCAAAGATACCCTTTGTGGTCTTGGATATTGATCATACTTAGTTTTAAAACTCTTGGCCTTGTGTTATTGCACCACCTTGGTCCTCCTTTGTCTTTTCTAGCTATGTGTATCATTCAGTAAGCAGATTCTCAGTCCTAACCTGTGATCGTAAACTCTGTTCTAGGTGTTCTCTGTATCTTTAATCTCTTGAACAAAGAACCTTACTTTGTGTCCAAATCCAGATCTGTTCATGACTCTATTTCCAGTGCTTCAGCTACAGCACTTTCCAGTGCTAATTTCCAAGCTCTTAGTAAGTACTAAGTTACATCCCAAATAACCCGAGATTCAGGTTATATAAAACCTCATTAATTATCCTTCCACCTCTGCCCCTAGGACTATGGGGGTAGATTGTGAGGGGAGAGTATTCCCCGTTTAAGCTGTTTCTATCATTAAGTTCTATCCCTAGAGATCATCTCTTTTCATCTTTATTCAAAGGAGTAATGTCTTTCAGATTTCCTTTTTGTTTCTCTTTCATCCTATGACCAACTCCTTATCACCCAATACTTAATAAACTGCCACTTAGATGGTCTCCCTTTAATATTGCTTCTACTCTCATTTTAATGACCACATTTATCATGTTATATCCCTCTGACCAAATACCCACAATGGTCCCTGTATTCTTCACTTGATTCTAAGGATCCATAATTATGTCCTTAAGTGTACTTATACAAACTTATTTCCTTCATTATGTGTAGGGATAGGACTCTGGTTATGGCAATTACCTTAACTGCATCTTCTAGGGAGACGTACAGTTTTTCTTTCTGTGCCTTTTTTTTTTGTGTGTGTGCCTTTTTTGTTTTTGTTTTTTTTCTGGACTCCCTTAGCCTGGTGTGTCTCTTCTCCCTGCTTGAGCACATCTTACCCAGCTTTATGTCCTGGCTCAAACTGTGACTTCATGAGTTTTGGACTCTCCTCATCTGCATAGTTTCCTACATTCTTAGTGCGCTATACCATGAGAGTGGAAGTCTGTACTTCACCATTTAGAACGTGATATTATATACATATTGTTTGTCCTATGTTGGCCTTATCTCTTTAACTGTATTAAGAAGTTAAGCTGTATTAAATAATTTTTAACAATGAAGTTGAGATTTTTAAAGCTGTTATGTTACCTGCATTAGGTATGTAATACTTCCTGATTAATCATAAAAACTACAAGTCACTTGCAAGTTTGCTTATCTGACATAAAGGTAGAAACTTCTTTACTGCAGGAGATCTTATTATTCAGTTTTTAGGGTGGAGGAAGGGAAGAAAAAGGGTAATAGTTCTTTTCTAGTTGCTGTATGTCTTCTGTTGTGTGTCAGTCTCATCTTACCAATAACCAGTGTCATGGCTACATCTGCCCTTGTGGTTCTGAGTGATACCCTTCAACAATAACCATGAAGACTTTGAAAATATAAAGGTTTATTACTTACAGGACCTGGAAATTACTCAGCATACCTAGGGCCATGCTCTGAGGTCACAGGTAGAGAGAAAGAGCACTCCTGAGCCTGGGGTTGAGTTAGGAGCTAGGGTTTTGAGGGCTCACTCTTTATTGGTGAATTTAAAACATAAGAGCAGGAATTTAAAGCATGGGAAGAGAAAAAACAAATTCCCCAAATGGTTAATGACTAAAATTAACCTAGATCTCTAAAACAAAGGAACCTCAGTATGTTGAGGTGGTCTGGCACTCTTAATCTAGTTTTGTGGCTGGCAGTGTGCCCCCTCCCCACCCCCTCCTCATGATAGCCCATCTTTGGAGCGGCTGCCACAGCAATCAAAGTTTAAGTCAGGCACTTGCATTATGAAAAGGAAATAAACCCAAACAACTGTCAGTTTTACAGACTACTCTGAGGCATTGGAGTCAATAGTGAGGACCTTAAGTGCCTGGGTAACTGATATGCTAAAGTTTATTGCAGGGCATTTTGTAACCCACAACATACACATCTAAATATAATTATAATTGCAAAACTTAATAATTATGCAGGCAGTAGTCCGAAATCCAGTCTGTAGCCATTGTCTCAAACTTGAAAGGTCCAGCCATGAAAATAGATCAGTTAATTAAAAAGTTGTATCTCATTTCAGGAGATGGTCATGCAAGTGGATTCCCAAAATTAGGCTTGTATTTGTAAGAAATCAGGTATTTAATAAAAGGCATTTCTATGGAAACAAAGGAAAAATAAAGGCTAATGGTTGGAGCAAATTATAAACCAAATCTGAATCCTGGAGGCAGGATTTCTAGATGTTAGGCTCAAAGCATCTTTGCAGTTTGGATTTTCTGATGATGCCATCAAGTGTTGAGATAAACTCACTATTGCCCACACAGCAACACGTGCAAATATTGTCTATATATGAAGTATTGTAATGATTTTTCTGAAGTTTATATCAGGTTATTCCATTCTAGCTCTCCTGGCTTTGGGAAAAGGGAAATTTTAATTTCTCTGTGATTCCAAGTCAGAAGGGTGGGAGAAAAATAGGAAGTGTCAGTTTGGAGAGTTGTAGCCAAATACTGGAAGATACTAGAAGAGTTCCTGATCTGGTTCAGTTTACAGGTGAAAAACAAAACCTCAAGGACAATTAAAAGCACTAAAATCTGATATTCACAAAGGTGTATTACTGAAACATAATTTTTACTCTCTGTAGTCACCCTCATTTCTATCAGAGATGAGGAAAATAAGGCTAAAGGGTTTGTTAAGAAAGGCCAGTCTCTTTAAACCTGGCCTGCTTATTTATGTAAGTGCAGCATGAATAGCTATTGATCATGTAGTAAGTCAGCTCTGGTGGATTTTTTCATAAGGAGTCTCAGATTGAATTTTTAAAAGCTACTCAAGGCTGGGAAGCCAAGCCAAGGACTTGATGTCAGACTTCACCTATAATACCAATAGATTTGGGTGAATTCCTCATTTTTTGAGGTTCTTAAAATATTCTGATGTTCCGGGCCTGCCAGGAAGTGACTTTCCTCACTCATCTGGTAAGGCTGCTGGGAACCCTATAAGTAAGGTAAAACTTATTTTCCCAAGGGGCTTAATTGGTTCCATAAAGTCAGCCTTACTTTTTTAAAGCTGTTTGGTCATATCTGAATCTATGCATATCTCTCTCAAATACAACATCCCGTCCAAAGCCTTTTTTTTTTTTAAGATTTTATTTATTTATTCATGAGACAGAGAGAGAGAGAGAGAGAGAGAGAGAGAGAAGCAGAGACAGGCAGAGGGAGAAG